AAGTTCATGGCTTGGCATTGACTCCATTCTATTCATCACCATCAGGCCAGGCAATCAATCCTGGTTCAATGAAGAGTGCAGGAAGACATGCAGCACCAGGTCTGCCTAAAAAATAGTTGCCAACTTGATAAAACTACATGATGCTGGGCAGTTAAGCAATAAACATGTGGTGGGGCCTTCATAAATTTTTCCATCCGCAATGAGGGGAAGCACCTCAGTGCAAAAGACAAGACTGAATAGTTACATTCATCTTCAACATAGTGAAATGTTATCTGTTGTTTTTTCAGGCAATGAGAGCACTTCTGAAATCAGGAGACACAGAAAAGATCGTTTTCTTTACAGGAGTTTCTCGACAAAAGGAGATTTACATCATGGCAGCAAACTACCTTCAGTCTTTGGACTGGCGAAAAGATCCAGAAATTATGAAAAATATCATCAGCTTCTACACTAAGGGACGAGCGCTGGATTTGCTTGCTGGCTTTTATGATGCCTGTGCACAGGTCTGTGTTTTGGATGGTATCAGAGGCAACTTATTAATGGCTTGAACATCAGCCAGGCTGGCATCAAACTCTGTTCCCTGCCCCACCGCCACCCCTAACATCAATATATTTTTGTTTTTGAAATGATTACACTGAGGATTCTGTACTCAGCACAAAGATTCTAAAGTAATCCATTATCCAGGGATTTGTGTGCTTTTTAAAATGTATATTATTTGCTACTCCTGAAGGAGAGAGAGATGTTGCTGTAAATGGATGGTCTCTTGGCACTTTGGAGTCAGTACTGCAATGAATCTGCTAGGACTGGCAGAATTCCTGCTGTTCAGACTGTATAAACATGAGAGCCATGAACTGACCTCCTGCATTAATGTGCTCCTAGTGCACAGTATAGGCATCTGGTACAGTTCATTAAAACTGAACTACAGCAACTGGGCTGGGCTTTGATGGACAATTTGTGTACCTGAGGGTCAGGATTAATCAGACCAAATAAAACAATTTAAATGGAGAAAAACCAAAGTTGTGAGTGATTCTTTACTCATGCCAGCTATCTCCTGTATATATGCTTGTTTCTGTTTGTGTATCAGGTTGAGATTGATGAATACCAGAACTATGAGAAAGCATTAGGAGCTCTGACTGAGGCATATAAATGTTTGTCCAAAGCCAAGATGAGGAGTCAAGGTGAACTGGAGGAACGGCTGGGACAGCTGCAGAACAAGCTAACAATGGTGAAGAAGTTTGTGCAGATCCGAAGGTAAGGGCACATGTGTCATCTCCTTTCATTGCAATTTTGTCATTGTAAATCTTCCACTATCTGCTTCCTAACAGCACTACAGGTGTTGCTACATCCCAAGAGGTGCAATAATGTAAGACATTTTAGCACTACTTTCTCCAGGGCAATTAGGGATGGATAATAAATGCTAGGTCTAGCCAGTGAAGCCTGCATTTTCATAAACAAATAAAACAAAAAGGTAGATTAAACTGACTTAACAAAAGTCAGATGAATGAAATGATACCTGATAACAAAGGTGTACACAATTAAAAGTTGTTCTGTCAGTCCTAGAGTATTATTCTCATAAATCAAATATTCTATTGATGGCACAGGTACGAACAGTGAAAAAGGGTTCTTTATTAAAGGTTAGCCTCGTGATCAATGGTCCATCCAGAGTGAAGAGCAAGCTGAAAGCTTTCCCCCAAGTTTGCACATAAGTTAAATTACCACCTGTGCCTGTGACTCCTTTAGGCTGTATGAAGAGGATCGAAAGGAGGCTTTAAAACAGTGCGAGAATCTGCTGGGTGAGCCTGAATTGGACCAGACTGTTCGAACTGGCGATGTCTATGCGCTCCTGGTGGAACATCATGCCCAACAGGGGAGCTTTGAGGTGGTGAGTACTCTCATAAGTTTTGAGGCTGCAATGCAGAAACCTTGCAACAAATGGAATGAATAGAGCTCCTTCAATACAGCAAAATATCTTAAGAACTTGTAAGGGTTTGCAGTCAAAAAAAATCAAGAATATGCTGAGGCAGCTGAGTAGCTCTATTGATTTGAATTTAGTTATATATGTCCCTACATTTATTCAATAATGCTCAGCTTCTAGAAGTAAAATCTGAATAGTTCTCCATAGGCAACAGTCAGAGGAAGTAGATTTGGATAAAGGAGGTGGGAAGATCTCTAGTTCTGAGAGAGAATTCTCAAACTGTGGTGCAGTCTGAATAAACTGCCTCTGCTAGGATTATGCTTGCTGTTAATAGAATGTTTCAGTACTGTTAATGTACCTTTTACTCACAGAGGGCTGCTGTGGCACAGTGGTAAGGTCCGTACTTCTGAACCATGAGGCCAAGGTTCAAGTCCACACTCTACCTGCTCCATACATATGTAATAACATCTCTGTTGGGACAATATCTACCTTTAATCACTGCACTAATGCTAGCTTGTAATAATGTTGCAGGCCTACAAGTACATGGAAGAGATGACTAAGAAATTGCCTTCTGTCAATGTGAGCTACTACATCAACCAGCAAATTACTGACGCTGTTTATAAGGCAGTGGGTGTTCCAATAAAGGCCAACATGGTAGTGGAGAGTGTTCGTCACAACAGTGCAGAGGATGGAGAGGAAGTGGAAGAAGATGTAGCTGAGGAGTCTTACAATGGTCCTGAGGACTGACATCGCAACTCTACAAATTGAACCTCAAAAACTTTGAAACCCATTTTTATACTAATATTTTACCAAGGGACAATTCATTCTGGCAGCCTAGGACTCCTAATTTTGCCTCAGGAAGCACTTCCAGTTCATATTTATATGAAACCCAAAGACTAGACTGAGTCACTGTAAGCTGACAGACAACTACACTTCCACTAAATCTTATCACTATACCCCAGTGAACACATGTCTCTCATACTGTTGTTCCTTCCTTTCTGGCTGGTAGTCCCTGACAACTTGAGAGACACCAAGAACATGTTGCTCAAAACTAAGTGCAATCACTTAATCATTGCAACATCAAAAATAGAGTCTAATTAGCTTGTTGTCTGCAAAGCCACTGTCAACTACAGAAAGAGTTTTAAGTGCCACTTGGCATAAGGGAGTCTGAAGGCAGCAACACTACTGCTCTGAACCACAATAGCCTTGCTGCTGCTGTTCCTGAGTTGCTTTTGAGCAAGGGAACAATCAAGAAAAGTAATTGACAGTGTTATATTTGTCAGATAATCCCCAGGGCTGCATTTAATAAGACTGCAATCTACAAGTCATGTATAGACTAAAGGGGAACTCACTGGGGATTTCTTGGATTTTGTCAGCTTGTGTACAGAATGTTTGCAGCTAACTCAAATGAATCAAACGGACCAGAAATTTATAGTTTCAATTGGTCTTCAACTTTTTAACAGTCAGGTTTATTATCCCTAATGTACAATTTGTGCTAAAACAATTTCAAGCAGATCATTTATTGACACTTTTATATATATTTTTACTAGTATTTATTCAATTACACTTAATATTTGTAATTCAGTTTTTATCACATCTTGCACTTAAAAACAATAAAACCTTTCCATTTGTTGTGATTTTTTTTTAACCTTTCAATTGTAAAGTTAAATAATTCTATTAAGAAGAATCACATGTTTAACATCTACAGTTGGATGTTCATGGTATTTAACTAAGTAGTGGCTTTGATATGTGCAAGAATGAAACAAAGACCCCTGAATGCTCTAAGAGAACCTTATCATTTCTAACAAATATCAGTTCATCATATTGTGTGACCTGCACCTCTCCATTCATTACTCATTAGTAATCTAGATTCAATGGCATTGGGTACATGTAATGCTGGACAATTTTTGCGTATTTCCAAGAGTCCCTCGACAGACATTTGCTTCTACAACATTATAAATCTATCTGTTAACCCATAGCTTTGAATACCCTCTGATATAGTTTTTATGTTGCTGGTCCATTCATAGCTCTGAGACTCCTCCCAGTTCCCATAGCTCCACCTCCAAGTAGGGGAACCAAATCTGAGATGTTTGGCTGGAGAAGTGTCATGCATGTCAATAGCCTCAATCTTCTGACCTTGACCATCATAAACACTGAGTGCATTAAACTCTCATCATGAAACTGAAACGTGACAAACATGAAAATGTGGCTGGAAATTTTTTTAAGATTTACTCATGGGATGTGGGCATCACTGGCTGACCAGCATTTATTGCCCATCACTAGTTGTGCTTGAGAGGGTGGCTTTGAGCTGCCTTCTTGAACTGCTGAAGTCCATGTAGGTAGAGAATGCTGTTAGAGAGGGAATTCCAGGATTTTGGCCCAGTGACAGTGAAGGAATGGTGATATTTTTCCAAGATAAGATGACAAGTGGCTTAGAAGGGATCTTCCACGGGGTAGTGTTTCCATGAATCTTCTGCCCTTGTTCTTCTAGACGGAACAGGCTATGGGTTTGGAAAGTGCTATCTACTGATCTTTGGCAAATTTCTACAGTGCAATTTGTAGGTAGTAAACACTGTTGCTACAGTGCATAGTTGGTGAAAGTGAACGTTTATAGATGTAATGCTGATCATACAGGCTGCTTTATGCTGGATGGTGTCAAGCTTCTTGAGTGCTTTTGGAGCTGCACACATCCAGGCAAGCGGACAGTATTCGAACACACTCCGGTCTTGTTCCTTGTAATTCTCCATCATCTACATGCCTCTGACCTACTGTTATAGCCACTGTATTTAAAGGGCAAGTCCAGTTGAGTTCCTGGTCAATGGTAATCCCAGGATGTTGAAGTGGGGGATTCAGCGATGGTAATGCCATTAAATGTTAAGGGGAAGTGGTTAGATTGTCTCTTATTGGAGATGGTCATTGCTTGGCATTTGAGTGGTACAAATGTTATTTTGGAACAAACAAAGTCTGAGTTTTCTCTATTTGCCATTTCCTAGCTTACAGTTTCCTTTCTCTCACCAACTAATTCTTTCAATCTCATTGAAATATGTTTGGTTCAATGCCAGCTGCTTATCTTTAAGCTTGTGTTACCTAGGTAGTGTGAGGTCCCTGTGCCCCATCACTATTATATTGCTATTCCATTCTAAACAGCAGTTGCATTGAGCAGGATTTCAGAGGCCTGTCTTGGGAGCTCAGTGATCTCTGAATTTAGACCCTGATTGGAGCTGAGAGTGTTGAGAAGACCTTCATCTGTATTGGGAGACTCCAGGTCATCTCTTGTTCCCATCTCAATGTACTGACCAGTGCTATCAAAATTCTCCCTCTGACCACTGCAGTACCGACGACGAGACTTTCTGAGATTCCTCTTCATCTTCCACAATTGCAGCTTCTTCTTCAGTTCATTCTGGACCTGTGTGTGAACAAAATATCAGAACTTTGAAACACAAAATGACCCTGAGAACAATGGTACATTACATTGGTCAGCACATATATCACAGAGAAACTCCAGACAGAACAATACAAATCTGGACACAAATTTACACAGTGGTCTTTGCTCTGTCTGTTTGGGGCTATGTACATCTCTGTGCATATTTTAGCAAGGCCCTATCTGTCTTCATATTGGTTTATGCCCCATTGTCCAGTTGTCTGCATCTCATTATTAGTCATTCTGTACCTGTGTGATTTTACTGATTATGGTGTTGGGTGTGGCTTTAGCTCAGCTGGTTGGACAGTTGCTTTGTGAAGTAGTGTGTCGCTGACAGCATGGGTTCAATTCCCACACCTGCTGAGGTTATTATGAAGGATTCTCCTTCTCAACTTCTCCCCTTGCCAGGGGTGTGGTGGCCCTCAGGTTAAATCACCACCTGTCATTTCTCTCTAATGAGAGAACAGCCCTATGGTCTGGTAAGACTATGGCAACTTGTCTAGACTTGGTTCCTCTGTTAGTCTGACATTTTCCAGTTCTGGCTCTGTTCTATTGGCCTTGCTTAAACATCCCTGTGATTAACAGGTATGTCAGGAACCTACATTCTTAAATCTGCCATTTGGAGATGCATGAGAGCACTGGGGAACAGACCATAAGACCATGAAATATAGGAGTAGAATTAGGCCATCTGCTCCATCATTCATAGAGTCATAGTGTAATACAGCATGGAAACAGGTCATTTGGCCCAAACTGGTCCATGTAGACCATGGTGCCTACTCAACTAGTTCCAATTGCCCGCATTTGGTCCGTATCCCTCTATACCCTTCCCATCTATGTACCTATCCAAATGTTTTTTAAAATGTTGCTATTGTACCTGCCTCAACCACTTTCTCTAGCAGCCCACTCCATATGCACACCACTCTCTGTGTGAAGAAGTTGCCCCTCAGGTCCTTCTTAAATCTTTCCCCTCTCCCCTTAAACCTATGCCCTCTAGTTTTCAATTCCCCACCCCTGGGAAAAAGACTATATGCATTCATTCTATCCATGCCCTTCATGATTTTATACACCTCAATAAGATCACCTCTCATTCTTCTACATTCTAAGGAATAAAGTCCTATCCCAACCAACCTCTCCCTATAACTCAGGCCTACTAGTCCTGGCAACATCCTTGTAAATATTCTTTGCACACTTTCCAGTTTAACTATGTCTTTCCTATAACAGGGTGACCAAAACTGTACACAATATTCCAAGTGCGGCCTCACCGACAACTTATACAACTGTAACATGTAATTCAATCATGGCTTATATATTTCTCAACCCGTTCTCCTGCCTTCTGCCTGTAACCCTTGATCCCCTTACTAATCAACAACCCATCTATGTCTGCCTTAAATACACTCAATGACTTCAGTCTTCTGAGGTAATGATTTCCACAGATTCACCACCCTCCGGCTGAATAAATTCCTCCCCATCTCAAGTCTTATCCACATCCATTCTTTCCAGGCCTCTCAGTATTCTGTAAATTTCAATGAGATCTACTCTTATCCTTCTAAACTCCAAGTATAGATCCAGAGTCCTCACCGCCCCTTATGTGGCAAAGCCCTTCATCCCCAGGGTCATTCTGGTGAACTTCCTCTGGATCCCCTCTAGGCCAACACATCCTTCTTTAGATAGGGGCCCAAAACTGCTAACAATATTCCAAATATAGACTGACCAGAGCCTTACACAGTCTCAGCAATATATCCCTGATCTTGTATTCTAGCTGCCTCAAAGCGAAAGCTAACATCATATTTGCCTTCCTAAGTGCCAACCAAATCTGCATGTTAACCTTAAGGGAATCCCGAACTAAGACTCCTAAGTCCCTTTGTGCTTCAGATTTCTGAAGCCTTTCCCATTTAGAAAATAGTTTACGCCTTAATTCTTCCTACCAAAACGCATAACGTCACACTTTTCCACATTGTATTTCATCTGTCACTTCTTGCCTGTCCCAAGTTCTTCTTTAGCCTCCCCACCTCCTTAACACTGATTTTGTGTCTTCTGAAAACCTGTAATTATGTCCTCAGTTCCTTGTCCAATTGTTAATGTATAATGTGAATAGTTGCAGTCCCAACAAGGATACCTGTGGAACTCCACTAATTACTGACTGCAATCGAAAAAGACCCCTTTATCTCCACTCTCTGCCTTTTGCCAGTCAGCCAATCCATGCCAGCACCTCACCCTGAATACCATGGGCTCTTATTGAGCAGCCTTCTGTGGGGTACTATATTAAGGGCCTTCCGGAAATTCAAATAAAATACATCCACTGGCTCTCCTTGGTCTAACCAGCTCATTACCTCTTCAAAGGATTATGATAGATTTATCAGGTATGACCTCCCTTTGACAAAGCTGTGCTGACTCAGCCCTTTTGTTTTAAACCATGCGCTTCCAAATACTCTGCAATCTCATCAACAATAATGTACTCTATAATCTTACCAATGACAGAAGTCAGGCTATATGACCTATAATTTTCCTGATTTCTGCCTCCCTCCCTTCTTAGAGAACTGGGAAATGGCTAATGTAACACGTCTGTTTAAGAAGGCAGCTATTTCTTTAAGAACCCTGGTGTGTAGTCCATCCAGTCTGGGTGATTTATTTATTTATTCAGACCTTTCAGTTTTCCCAGCACCTTCTCTTTAGTGTTGGCCATTAAACTCATCTCTGCCCCTTGGTTCTCTTAAAGTTCTGGTACTCTATTAGTATCTTCCGTTATGAAAACTAATGCAAAGTACCAATTCAGTTCCTCTGCCATTTCTTTGTTCCTCTTTCCTACTTCTCCAGCCACATTTTTCAGCAGTCCAATCTCCACTTTTGCCTCTTTCTTAACTTCTAGATATCTAAAAACAAACTCTTGCAATTCATTTTATTATTATGAGTTAACTTATCCTCATATTTCACCTTCTTCCCCTTTATCACTTTTTTAATTGCCCTCTGCTAGTTTTTAAAAAGGCTTCCCAATCCTCTGGCTTTCCACTAATCTTCAACACATTATATGCTTCTTCTTTTACTTTTATGCTGTCCTTCAGTTTCTTTGTCAGCCATGGTTGCCTCATACTCCTCTTAGTATGTTTCTTCTTCCTCAGGATGAATTTCTGCTGTGCCTCCCAAATTACCCCCAGAAGCTCCTGCCATTGCTGCTCCACCATCTTCGTGGCCAGATTCTGCTGCAAACAACTCTGGCCAGCTCTTCCCTCATGTCTTTGTAGTTAGCTTTACTCAATTCTAATACCATTACATCTGATTCCAGCTTCTCCTTCTCAAACTGCAGAGTGAATTCAATCATATTAACATCACTGCCCCCTAGGGGTTCTTTCATCTTAAAGCTCCTTAATGAAGTCTGTCTCATTACACATCACCAATCCAGAATTGTCTGTTCCCTAGTGGGCACTGCCACATGCTGCTCCAATAAACCATCTCATAGACATTCCATGAATTCCTTTCCTTGGGATTTGCTACCAACCTGATTTTCCCAGTCTATCTGCATATGGAAGTCCCCGTGCTTATTATAACAGTGTCATTATTACATGCCTTTTCTATCTCCTGATTTATTTTCTGCCCCACATCCTGACTACTGGTAGGAGACCTGTACACAACTCTCAACAGGGTCTTTTTAAGTTTGTCATTTCTCAACTCTATTCGCACACATTTTATACCTTCTGACCCTATATTGCTTCTTGCTATTGGTTTAATTTTATTTCTTACTAACAAGGCAACACAACCACACCCCACCCACTGCCCATCTGCCTGTCCTTTTGATAGGATGCATATCCTCTGATATTTAGTTCTCAGTCCTAATCCCCTTGCAGCCACATTTCTGTGGTGTCCACAACATCATACCTGCCAACTTCAATCTGTACTACAAGCTCATTTGTGTTGTTTTGTATTCTGCATTGACCATCCCTTCCTTCTCATAGTAGTTCCTTTATCTGCTATACCCGAAGCTAGATTCCTTTCCATACTCTCTGTCCAATAACTTGTTCTGGAAGTTTTAATAACTTCTGAGCCATTCTTCCCAAACCACCCCTCCTTAACTAGTTTAAAATTCTAGTGACCTTTATTTACCTTGATTTACCTACCACCATAATTCATCTACCTTATGCTGAATGCTTTGTGCTTTAGAAAACAAAACCTTTAAGTTTGTTCCATTACCAGTTTCCCTGCACTTTCTTGGTTCCTTGGTACAACGTCACATTCACACATTCTGTTCCTTTGTTCCCTGGAAATAAAATCAACTCCATCACTAACCAGCAAACCCACCTTCTCCTTTAACTTTGATTTCATCATTTTCCTTGCAACTGATTCCACTCCCACACTATTTGGTTTAAAGCCCCACCTACAGCCCTAATTATGCAACTCACTAGTATGATTCTGGTGGAGTCTGTCCCATTGGAACAGCTCCCTCTTTCCCCAGCACGAGTGCCCACATCTCATGAAATTGAACCTGTTTCTTCTGCACCATAGAGTCATATAGCACAGAAATATACCCTTTGGTCTAACTAGTCCATGTCGACCAAGTTTCCCAAACTAAACTAGTCCCATTTGCCTGCATTTGGCCTTTGTAAACCTTTCCAATTCATGTACCTATCCAAATGTCTTTTAAATGTTGTAACTGTACCTGCATCAATCACTTTCTCTGGCAGTTCATTCCACACACGAGCCAGCATGAGAGAAAAAGTTGCCCTTCAGGTCCCTTTTAAATCTTTCCCCACTCACCTTAAAAATATGCCCTCTAGTTTTGAAATCCCCCACCCTAGAGAAAAGACCTTTGCTGTTCACCTTATCTATGTCCTTCATGATTTTATTAAGCTCTAAGGTCAGCCCTCAACATCGTATGCTCCAGTGAAAAATGTCCCAGCTTATTCAGCCTCTCCTTATAACTCAAACCCTGCAGCCCCAGCAATATCCACGTAAATCTTTTTTGAATCCTCTCCAATTTAATAATATCCTTCCTACAGCAGGGCAACCACAACTGTACACAGTATTCTAAAAGTGACCTCACCAACATCCTGTACAACCTCAACCCCTAACCTTAGCCGCTAACCTCAACTCCTATACTTAATGGTCTGAGCAATGAAGGCAAGCATGCTAAATGCCTACTTAACCACCCTGTCTACATGTGATGCAACTTCCAAAGAACTACGTACTCAGTGAGCCATGCATTTACCTCTTTAATCTTGTTGATCCTGTGCCAATTAGCACGTGGCTCAGGTAGTAATCTGGAGATTATTACCTTTTTGGTTCTGCTTTCTAATTTAGCCCCTAACTGTTCATGTTCCCTCAACAGAACTTCTTTCTATCAATATTGCTGGTACCTACATGGACTGTGACAACTGGATCTTTCTCCTCCCACCCCAAGTTCCTCTGCAGCCCAGATGAGATATCCCAAATCTGGGAACCAGGCAGGCAACACTGCCTTGGGACTCAATCCTGGCTACAGGGAACAGTATCCATTTCCCTGAGTGTACTATCCCTGATTACAACTACATTTCTCCTTTCTGCCCCTCACTTGAATGGCTCCTTGTTCTGCGGTGCTATGTCATTTTGCTCATCCTCCCTGCAGCTCCCAGTCATCCACACAGGGAGCAAGAATATCAAACTAGCCCCCATGCCCCAGCTTTAGCCCCCAGTGTATGTGAGTGCAGTCTCTTGCCCTTGCTGAAGTAGCATGCAGAGAGAAGAATACACGCAACAAAACAAAGACCAACAACTCTCCTTACAGAGGTTATGACAACCATTGCCTCAGAGCTGAGCTTGTGGCAGTGGGAGTACTTGACTGAGCATCAGGCTGAGGGACATCAGTTATGGAAAATGTTAAGCAGTGGATGTCTTGTCACCTTACCTCGCCATTAATAAAACAATACAGGACTGCCACCAACAAGCCCTGAAAAATAAAAGTAAACAATAAAGAGAAAACCAGCACCCCAACTATACTTCAGGGATTTATCTTGATTCAGCAAAATCCACATGACACCAACACTTTCATCACAAGCTGAACATATATTTGGGAACAAAAACAAAGTTGCTGGAAAAGCTCAGCAGGTCTGGCAGCATCTGTGAAGGAGAAAACAGAGTTAATTTTTCGGGTCCGGTGACCCTTCCTATATTTGGGATCTAGATAAACGTTGAATCCACTAGACCCTCACATTTCAGCCTTGCAATTTCTAAACTCCCAATCCCTATGCCTTGACTCCATTTACCCAAGGCCCACTATAACACAGCAAGTGGCTCTGATCTGCCCCATATCAGCGATGTACAACATTTCCATTAGTAATGAAATCCTTGCCCAACATTTGATATGAGCTTTGGGAGTCACCATTTGGGCATATGGAATGAATGAACTTGAAGGCCTAGACTGCAGAACAATAAAAAAAAGGATCAGGCCATTCATTTATTTCGTCACACCTAAGCCAGCTTTTTAAAAAGTTATCCTTTGCTGTTTCCCAATAACTACAATTTTCCCTTAAGGTATTTATCCAGTTCCTTTGTGAAAGTTATTATTGCTTTTGGTTTTAGCAGCCTTTGAGAGTGCATTCCATGTCAATGATTCACTGCATAAAAATGTTTCTTCCGTGTTTTTTTTTTGCCAATTGTCTTAATCTGGCTCTTCTGGTGACCAATCTTGCTGTCAGTGAAAACAGTTAATCTTTATTTATCAAAACCCATTCATAATTTTGAATGCTACAAATTAATCGCCCATTAAACTTTTCTGCTTTAAGGAGAACCAGTTTCACATATTTCAGCAAGTATCCAGAATCAGTGTTTAGTATCAGACTGCGTAGTTCATAAAACTACCTGTATGGAGCCAAAGAGGAGTTCAACAAATAGTTTTATGTATCGAAGTATTCCTTTAGCATTCTCATCCGTGATAAAAATAAAAAAAATCTCGTGCACCCCCAACAAAGGGATTAGAATTAGCGTTGATTTTGTTAATCTGAAACAGAAATGACACTAAGTTATAACAAGCACAGTAAGAAAACACAAGGCAGTTCATAGTGAAGTATATTCTAGCAGGCCAATCAACAAATCAATCAACAGATTCCAGAAAGAAATATATGTATTTCTGATGAAAAGCAGGATAAAGGGCTATGGGGAACAGGCAGGAAAGTGGAGTTGAGACCAGGATAAGACCAACCATAATCATGTCAAATGGTGGAGGTGGGGTCAGAAGGGCCAAATTGCCTACTCCTTCTAATTCCTATGTTCAATGTATTGCCCATTTCATATACATTGAGAATAATACATACTGACTTTGGAACAAACAATGCATGTTTAGCAGTTTCTCCCTTCTGCCAGGTCTGTTCCAGCCCAGTGGGGCAGAAAACACTCTCCATCACCGAGTCCCTCCTCTATCTCTAGGAGCTATACGCCACACCCAAGCTTGCAACAGCTGACTTTGGAATTGATGGTGGCAGTACCTACATTGGAGAATCAGCCCATTCCATGTCACTAGAATTTACTTCACACAAGATGGTATAATTCATTAAGAAATTAGGTGTCCAAGGCTTTGTCATTGAGAGGCCACTCCCTGCAAATGATTTTCAGCAACTGGGGGCCTCTCTGGGTATGACTCTGGCTTGTCTACTATACCACTATAAATTATTAGTTTTCTCTGGATAGCAACTTCATGGAAATCATAAACATTTGAGTAACAGTGTGACAGTAATACTGGTGATTTACATTTCTTCCTAAAATAGCAGTGTGACCCACAAAGACCAACGATTGAAGGGCTCTTGAATCGTCTATGGTGTTAAAGGTTTCATTCAGCTTGCCCAACAAACAAGCACAAAGCTAATTATTGACTCCAATTCCTTAGAATCACCAGCCAGAGCTCTAAAAGAAGCAACGATAACATTGTAAAATTGACAAAGGGTATCTCTACACAAAACAGCCAGAGTAATTCTTTCCCTCCCATCTGTGGAACCTGGCTGGATCTTTTAACTGGCTGATCCCCAGTCTCACAAAGAAACAAAAAACCTTACCGATTTTTAAAATCTGTATTGTGTGTCTGATGGGATCGCATCTTGGAGATGAGTAGAATTATTATTCTGATGAATATTGCAAAATTAATCTGAAACCAATCAAATAAATTATTGTATTAGTGAAGCCCTTTCACAGTTTCCCTTGGCTGAATAAGCTGCTAATATCTGCAGTATTTCATAAACACAGAGCGTGATCTCATCTGATTTCTGTACTAATTTACAGGTTTGGCTGGAAATGGAATTGAACTCAGATGTAACATCTTTCATAACCTGCCAATGTCTATCACTTGGTGGATGGTGGGATGCAAGCAAGAAATCATCATTAAAACATGTTCTAAAATAAACTTACAGCACGCAGCCATTGCAATCTGTATATCACTGAGAGCATGTAACCTGTGCATAACTGAGTGTGTAACAAGTGTGTGTAACAGACTCTGTGTGTCTCGTAAGTCATAATTTCTTTGGCAATGCTTGCATTAGTGTATTCTCCAATACTTTAAATAGAAAAAACTTCACTGGTCTATGAACTCTTGTAGGAGTTTGTGCAAACTTCACCTGACCTACATCAAGTTTCATTGCACCATAGAAGATCTGACTTTAATTTCAGCCTTCCTCTTTGTTTCCTTTCTATTCCTTGTCTATACATAGCAATAATTCCATATGTTCTATGTAACTTGCATTTTCTCCATGTCTATTCACATGTGCATTTTAGTTGCCTGGGCTCACTTCATCCCATCATTTTTATTCTACCTTTTCCTCCTTTTGAAAACCCCTTTTCTCTTTACTTTTCTAGTCTTGTTTCTCTTAAATTTTTCCTTTCTGGCCCTCACTTAATTTATCCTTTCTGCCATCCTATATGCTTACCCCAACCTTCAGTATTCCTCAACCTTCTTGCTTTCTTGCCACCACCCCGTGATTGGCTTTCTCAGATAAGACTACAGTTTCTCTCTGCCTCACTTGGCATCCTCTAATGTGCTCATCGAGGCACACAGCACTGAGTCAGTGTAAGCAGCAACTCCAACTGCTTCATCCCACTCTGTCATTGATCTTCCCATCCAGTGCATCTGCTGGAAATGAATCTTGCCAATCTTCTTTCTCTTCAATTCCCATTGCTAATCCTCTGCATTCTGCTAACAGAGCAGCTTTTAATATCCTTCAATGCATTTCCTTCCAGAACATCTGTCCATAAATGAACAAGGTCCTTGCTTTCTGTAATCCTCAATAAGAAATTCACAATGACATAATGGCCTTAACTGAAACTTGGATTGAGGAATGTGACATTTTGATTCTTAATGAAGTTTTCCCACCTGGGCCTTATCTTCCACCACTTGCCCGACCAAGATCATCTCAGAGGCCGTGTGGCACATACCACTAGCTCACATTTCAACTTTAGCACACTCTCCTCTGTCTCTTTATAGCCCTTGGAGCATCTCATCTTCTTCCAGTTCTCTCACCCTTATTCAAAATGCTCATTCTACCCAGGTACCATAAAAAATGTTCTCACTAAGATGTCTTCACTGCTTTTCTCCCTTAGCCTCTGCACCAAAAAACTTCTCATCCTTGATGGTTTCAAACTCCATCTCAATTCCAAAAGAATTGCAGATACAGTAAACCAAAAACAAAAATAGAAAGTATCTGTGGAGGGAAATCAGAGTTAATGATTCGGGATGCTGCCAGACCTGCTGAGCTTTGCCAGCAATTTCTACTTTTGTCTCCATCTCAATTCATTGTGCTTTCTCTCTCCTCGGAGTTCACTTCCACCTTATCATCCCTTCACCTTTCTTTCCAGGTAAACTATCTTATGGCCTCACCCATATTCACCCCTTACTATCTTGCACAATCTTGCTACTTCCATTGTAAGAATCATAAATAAGATCAAAATTTATTTACTTCCTTGCATCATTCTCCATTCACATTCTCTGCTACATCCAAAATGTGCTTCCATCTGTTCCTCCTTGCAACAAAAAAAAAGAATAATTTCTTTTCTTACAACGGGTATTTTCAAAATTCCAAAATGTTTAGCCTTCACCACAATATTTCTGCCGTCACTAACTCAATCACACAGTCACTTCCACCTTTGAAGCACCAGTCCCTTCTAAAACCATTACTCTCTCTCACCATGGCCATTCCCTGCTGAGGCCATCATTTCCACTTCCATTAATCAAAAAGACTCGGATTTGAGTTCCAAGTTCAATATGTTGATAAAACCTACCTCCTGCTCCCTCAGCATTATTGCATTAAACTCCCGAAACCCAACTTCCCCTCCTCATGCACATGTTACCCAATATTGTTAATGGCTGTTTCTTCTTTGATGCTGCCTTTCTCTCCTCTAGAACCTTCATCATCATCATCATCATCATCCCTATTTAAAAAAAAAACCCTGACTCTGATATTCTTGCAACCTACAGCTTCTCTTCAATGTGTTTAAATATGTTGTCAGCTCTCAAATCAGTACCCATTGTTCCCAGGATTTCATATTGGAATCCCTCTAATCAGGTTTCTATCCCTGCCATAATGCTTTTTAATCAGTCATAAATGAGCATATGAGATCGCAGCAAAGGTAAACTTTCATTCCTCATCCTTCTCCACTAATCTGCAGCCTTTGAGGTGGTCGACCCAACCATCATCCTCCAACACCTCTCTACTGTTGTCTGCTTTCACTTGATTTCATTCTCATCTGTCTAATCATAGCTTGATAAATCTCTTTCTGCTCTTTCAAGGGTTACCACTGGTGTGCCAGGGCTCTATCATTGCCTCTCAACATCAATTCATGTTCCTACTGTCCCCCTCAGTGACAGTAACCTAAGGCACAGTGTTAATTTTTACATACATGTTGACAATGTACCTCACCACAAATTCTCTCGCCTCCTCCAGGATAGTTAAATTATCAGACTGATTATCTGACATCCAGTTCTAGATGAGCAGAAACCTCTGGCAATGAAATATTGGGAAGACTGCAGCCAGCCATTGTTTTTGTTCCCCTGCAAAATTCATTCCTTAGCTACCCTACTCCATCCAATGACCATGGTTTGAGGCTAAACCAATTTGTTCACAGCCTTGGTACCACACTTGACCCCAAGATGAGCTATCAACCACACATCAATACAATCATCAAGTTCCACGTCTGTACCCTCAGCTGGCTCTATCCCACCTCAGTTAATCTGTCACTGAAACCCTCATTCATGCTTTTGTTATCTCTGGACTTGACTTTCCATGTTGTATCTTCCATAAACTGAAGGTCATCCAAAACTGAACCTTACTCAAACCAAGTACTCTTCATTTATCACCCAATGTTCACTGACCTACATTGACCTCCAGCAAAGCAACACCTTATCTTAAAATCCAGTTTTGCTTTTAAATCCTACAATGGTCTCACCCCTCCCTATCTCTAATCTCATACTGCCTCAGCCTCTGAAATATCTATGGAAATCTTTTGAATTCTGGACTGTTTTTCATTCTTAATTTTAATTGTTCCTCCATTGATAACCATTTCTTCTGCCTCTCTACTTATCATTCCTTTTTTAAGACATTCCTTAAACTCTGACTTTTTGACGAAGCTTTTTATCATTTCCCTTAATATCTTTTATGGGGGCCCAGTGTCAAACCTTCTAATGCTCCAACAAAGGCCTTGGGATGTTCAATTACAATAGAGATGCTTTATGAATACAAATGGTTTTTGTAGTGGCTTGAATATAATGCGCAGAGGAAACAAATGTTAATAGAGCCTCACAATGATGACAAGTAACAGTGGAGATCGCACAATCCACCAGAAGGACATGTTAGTGTTTTGTCTCCAGCACCTGTTTAAAAAAAAAATCAAAATGAGAAACTAAAAATTTTAAATAATTTCAATGTCACAGGTTGTTGATTCCATCATTGGTAAGGACAGCATTTTTAGCCCATTCTTCATTAAATTGACATTTCAGGTGGCAGTTGAGAGTCAATGACATTGCTGAGAGTCTGGAGTCACATGATGAGACCAGGTAAAGATGGCTGATTGCTTTCCCTAAAGGAAATTAGTGAACGAGGTCAGTTATTACAACACATGATAATTATTTCATGGTCAACATCACTGAGACGACTAATCCAAACCTGGGCCTCTGTATTACTAGTTCAGTGGCATTACCATTTTGTCACTGTCTCCTTATTATCATTCCTCTTAGTTTCATGATCATAGGGAGAGTGGTGGATTCTCTACTGACCAGTGACATCTCCTGGAAAGCATCTGGTTGTTGATATCAGCATTGCATTCAATTGTCAAGTAGCCTCGAGCATTCACTATTTATGCTTAATTCAGGAGGCCCTTGGGGAAACCAGCAGGCAAATGCAATAGGAAAAGCAATGTTTCCAAAAGCAACACAGGAATGGGGAACATAAGGAAGCCTGAGTGAAGCTCAATGACACAAATTGTTACTTTGCGAAATTAAACCAGGAGGATTGTGACTGAGGTGAGCTGTGCTGAGGCAGAGGTGGGAAAGGGGTGTCATTCCCCTAGTACTGTAGTATTTTGCCTTACCCAGAATTCTCCTGTAAGAACTTGACAATGATCCATGGAAACACAAAAATCAAGGGGACACCTAAAAAATGACAAAACATAACAGAAAATCCTGAATCATATTAATCATCCATTAAATTTCCTTTGAACCAGAGCTGCATTTAAAAGGATTCAGGGAGGTAATGGCTTCAGGGAGGTAATTTTTAATTATTATTAATTATTTTGAATCAACCTATTCAGGTATGTTATTACAGATCTCTTGGGCAGGTAGGGTTTGAATGCAGGGACACTACCAAAGCACCACAAAAACTAAACTACATTGATCTAGATATTTTGAATCAAACCAGTCAGAGATGTTATTACACATTTCTGGAACAGGTGGGACTTGAACCCAATCCTCCTGACTCAGAGGTGGGGCACCATCACTTCACCACAACAGCCCTGCTCTATTAATAGTATAATTTAAGGTTAAGTGTGTACAGGAGGAAGGGACATCCATTGGATGATTAGTTGTGCATTGTGGTTAAATCTGGCCTAAAAACTGTAATTGCTGGAGAAACTCAGCATCTGTAGGGAGAAAATAGAGTTAACGTTTCGAGTCCAGTGACCCTTCTTCAGGATTCAGAAGATAGCTTAGAACAGAAGTCTTGTCAGAGAGAGGATCAGTAATTCTTCAAGGTATGCATGCTTGGAAAAGAGGTAGCAGTAAGTTAAACTTAAAACAAAGAACAGCGGATGCTGGAAATCTGAAACAGAAACAGAAATTGCTGGAGAAACTCAGCAGGTGTGGCAGCATCTGTGGAGAAAAAACAGAGTTAACATCTTGATGTTTCTTCAAAGCTCAAAACGGAGTCCAAACAGAACTCTGCACTGTTCTGAAGGAGGGTCACAGGTTAATTGTGTTTTCTCTCCATAGATGTTGCCAGATCTTCTGGGTTAAATTCGACTCCTTACTTCACTGATCATGGTTATGTCTGCACCAGGGGTGTCCATAGGAAGAGACCGTGCAGTGTCCACTGTCTCAGTCAGTGGGCACTGTGGGGGCAGGAGTACATTATCTCTCACCTCACAATGACATTTTAATTTAATTTGTTAAACTTCCTTTAAAGTTTGGTTTTGGTTACAAAACACCTTTAAAGGGCGTGTTATTGTTATTGATTAATTTGGTTTTACCGGTTACTTATAAGTGTATGAAGCAACACTAACCTGCAGAAGGTGAAGTTAACAGGTCCAGACAGTGGGCTATGGAGGGTGTTGTTAGACCTAACTGCCTGTCTCAATTCTATGGTTACATCTGTGCCCTAGGAATGGGAGCTGGAACATATGAAGCCTTCTGCAATCAGTGGGTCTCCAGAGGTACTGTTCTACAACGTCTCCCGGGAATGATATTTCCAATTTAGTTTAAATTCCTTTAAAATTTGGATTTTACTTTTTGCAATCCATCATTAAAGGGTGATTAATTTGTTTGTTCATTTGATGCTTAAAAGAATATTAGAGAGGTATTTTCTCCCATAAGATTTAGTTTAAATTCAGTAAGTTTCCTTTAAAGTCTTGGTTTTTTTGTTAGTATCTTTTTAAGGTTTGGTCCTTCAGCTAACTGGTTAATTAGTTTATTTAGTTTACTCAGAGGAGTTTAGAGAGACACTGAGCCTAAGCAAGGTGGCATTTTCTAGGGTCTGGTAGCAGGCATTTTCAGAGGCTCTTCCAGCCTGACTGGAGCTCAGAGCTGCTCAGAAGTAATCAGGTCATGAGGAGTTGGATAAAGAGCAGCTGAGTCAATGTTTAAGTGACATTGTTCCACAATTTCATCAGATGAGTAGGAAAGTTGACGTTTCGGGTCAGGACCCTTCTTCAAGGGTCAACTTTCCTACTCATCTGATGCTGCCTGGCCTGCTGTGTTCCTCCAGCTCCACATGTGTTATCTCTGATTCCAGCATCGGCATTTCTTACTATCTCTGAGATCTACAATTTCATACCTTTTTCCAGATGGAACCTTGTGAAGTCCAATGTAGGAAAGAATTCACTGTTTGCCCATCTCTGTCACCTTTTTTCAAATATTTCTCCAATTCCCTTAAAGGTTTTCTACATTTCCCCTGACGTGGACAGCCTATTCTCCATATCCATTGTGAAAAATAAAACAATACCTACCTCTATTTGCATTCTTTCATCGCCTCAGGATAACTCCAAAGCACTTTACAGGCAATGAAGTACATTTGAAGTATTATCACTGCTGTAGGAAGTGTGGCAGGCAATTTGTGCACATGTTGCTGCTGCTGCAATATGATAATGAATGACCAAATCTACTTCTGTGGTGATAGTTGAGGAGTTAACGTTGGCACCGTAAAGAAGTTCAGACTAATTCTCAGTCAGTGGCCCAACAGGGGCAATGCCAAGACTACTTCTACTCAAGTAGCTGGCTATTACACTCCACTCTCTGTCATTGAGCTCATTATTTATTGAAAACCCAAGAGTCAGACACATCTTACCCCAACCAATCAGCAGATAGACCAGGAAGCACTTCTGCTCAGTGAAAACAGACACAATGAGTAGGAAATAGAGGAATAGACCTTCAACCAACAGCCAGTGATAGGTGCAGAGTACACTGTAGTGGAGGAAGATCTGTGAAGAACGACACCACATTGTAGCCTGGAATAAAATGGCAAAATTACACCTCAAGGCAGGCTGCAAACACAGACATTTCAACATAATAGCATGCCAGGGACATGAAACTGGCTCAAACCCAACCAAAAACACCAACAACTTACATTTATTTAATACTGTTGAGATGGTAAAACATCCCAAGTTGCTTCATAGAAGCGTTTCTCAGACAGGATGATGCAAATCAACATCAGGACTTATTGGTACATGTGAGTGAAGGGAGCAGAGCTCACTAAAAACACATGGCCACAACATCCAGATGTTCTGGAGAAGTCAATGGTGCCATACAATGTTGCCCTCACCCCCCCAACAGCTTCCTGCCACCAGTACTGTAATTAAATGGATCATTAAGACCTCAATTGCAAAGAAGCACACCACGATCCATTTTTTCAAAGGAACAGTTGTTCCCGGACAGTGATGCGCTGTGTCGGAGTTATTGGTTACAGTTAAACCTGCCCACTCAACTCAAACAGCCACAGCTCTATTTTCCCACTCATTGACACAGGTTAGGCAAAAAAATGGAGCTGAATGGGTAAGATTGCAGTGGTAATATTATTGCTATTATCCTGCCCATGCTGGGAGCCCCATGCCTCACCATGTCTGGATCAGCAGTCTGCAACTCGACACTGACATTGCCATTTCCTGCATGTAGATTGTCCATGAGCACATCTTTGACCAACACGGCAATAGCTCGGAGGATGAAGGAGCCAAACAGGTTCAGATGGATGTAGTTTCTCATGCAATGGAGTTTCCTGAGGGTCAAGGAAAGTGATGATCTCCTGATTACCAGCTATTCATCCTTTACCTCGAGGTTTGATTCAATTGTGAAACCCACCCTACCTCTGGGACACATCTCCACAGACTGTCTGGCATCAGGGATAGGGAGGATCCAGGTCTGGGAAATAAGCTGTTTCGAGTCCGAGGTTCAGAAATCAGCTGTTTGGCTTTGTCTAAGCTGTTTGGTGTCAGACAGGATCAACTTTTGGGGGTCAGGGGTTGCTATGATCAGCTGTTTGGGAGTCATAGTTAAATAGATTTCCCCTTGGAGATTCTGTTCAATAATAAAAGTTTAAAGCCTCTGGTGGTTGATATTCCAAGGGTGATAATCTGCTGGAGAATCAGAAACTTGCAATGATGATTGACAAGTTTGGCACTGCACCCTCAGCAGGAGGGACCTGTGACAGAGAAACTGAATTTAGTGTCTTTCACAGGGACTGAACCCTGTGGAGAAGAGGATATTTAAAGAATCAGTTCCAAACCAACAATAGTGCCTTTAACATAAAACATTCAAGGAAAGTACCATTTAAAATAGAGTGGAGCATTCCTTTTCTGATATGATCATCTCTCAGGTACGATGCCAGATTCAGACCGAAGTTCCAAAACCTGCTGTTCTACTGGAGCGGAGTTAGGGCTTGGAGAATCCCTACAGGAGGGAATTTGTCTGTAACTCTCAATAGATCCTCTATTGTTATGTGGAGCTGTAGGACAATATGTGGAGGCAAACCGCGAGAGAAAAATAAGGGGCAAAAGTAAAAAAAAGAAAAATAATTTGAGATAAACATTAAAGTACCTGAATGAGATGAGAGTGAGACTTGCCCCGATGAGTGTAATGAGAGACAGAGTGTAACCAGCCGTGTACACAAAGCGGAATGTGCTCAGAGTCTGCTGCTTGACCAGCTACAGATAGACAAAGGCATCAATGGGGAACCAGTTGCTCTACATCAATCCCACCCTTACCGTATCACCATCCCACCTCACCCTTCAGCCACCTTACCCGTCACTCACTGTACTTCAAACCCATTGTACCCCACCACCATTTACCTTGGTCACTGTATCTTAAAGTCATTGTACCCATACTCACTGTACTCTGCCCCATTCCCAAAATACCCTGCACACCAATCATCCGTAGTCCTCACTGACCTGTTGATGTAGAAACACATGATCTTCATCACATTCTGAATGATCAACCCAGGGCTCATTTGTGTAATTGTCCATTAGCCAAGAACCTTTCTCAGTACAGTATCTGAATGCAGAGCCTTTATCAACTAGGGGGAAAAAATTGAGTTTACTCAACAATTTACACAGCAATGGGTTATCATTCTTGAAGGGTCAGTCAGTCACAATGTGACAGAGTTACACCCTTGAAGTGAGTTTGTCAGTGAGTTAATCAGTTTATTTGTCACAAGTGGCAATGCTATTCTCTTGAGGGGTCAGTAAACCAGGGAGGGGATTGTTGAGAACAGTTTTTCACATCATTGTTTAATTTATTGATCAGATTATTATTACAAAGTCTGGCAGTTAACAGTCAATCAACATTAATTGTCACATTCTCTATGGCAGTGCATCTATCAATTGACATTCTCATCTCAAGCAGTATAAATAATGCTTTCCCCTTGAATTTGTATTCTTGCAAATTGTCCTGATGAGTGCAAAATGAAATGCTTAGACAGAATTTATCATTTCTTTCAGTAATATTAAATTTCTGTACTACAAAATGACTATAAACAATATCTTGTTTAAGATTAGGGTTATGGATTATGATGTGGGTAAATGTGAGGGTTTGTACTTTGGTAGGAAGAAAAGAGGAACTGAATATTATTTAAATTAGAGAAAGACTGAAGAAAGCATTAGGACAGAGGGATTTGGTGTCTTGCTCCATGAATACCAAAAACTAGTGTCCAAGTTCATGAAGTAATAGGCAAGGCAATTAGAAAGTTGGTCTTTATTTCAAAGCGAATGTAATGTGAAGGTAGGGAGGTTTTGCTAAATCTATACAAGGCACTTGTCAGACCAGACCTCGAATACTATGAACAGTTTTTGAGCCTTTTATCTAAGGGAAGATATACTGGCATTGTAGCCAGTCTAGAGAAGGTTCCCTAGACTGATATCAGGTATGGAAGCACTGTCTTATGAGGTGAGGTGAGGTGAGGCGAGGCTGAGTAGGTTGGTCCTGTTCTCTTTGAAATTTAAAAGAATGAGAGGCAGACTCACTGGAATATATAAGATTCCTAGGGGACTTGACAGGGTAGATGTGGAGAGGCTATTTCCCCGGTAGGAGAGTCTAGGACCAGACAGCAAAATCTCAGAATAAGGGAACAGACATGTAAGACAAAGATGAGGAGAAATTTATCATTTGAGGGCAGTGAATCTTTGGAATTCTTTACCACAGAGAGCTATAGAGGTTGGATTGTTAGGTATATTCAAGGCTGAGAGATTTTTAATCAGTAAGGAAATCAATGGATTTGGGACAGAGGCAGGAAAGTGGAATTAAGGATTATTAGATCAGCCATGATCTCCGAATGTTGAAGGAAGCTCGATGGGATGAATGGCCTACTTCTGTTATTACACCTTATGGGCTTTTTAACTGCTCGTTCCATCTGTCCTGCCATTTTCAGTGACTTACACGCATATAAATCTAACTCTTTCTGCCCCTGCGCATTCATTTGGGTTGTGGCATTTATTTTAAACTGTATCTCCATGTTCTTTCTAACGAAATGTATCACCTCATACCGCTATGTATTTGGAATTCATCTGACCGCTCCGCTGACTTGCCAATATCAATTCTGAGTTTTATATTATCTTCCTCACATTTTTCCATACTTCCAAATTTTGTGTCATTCACAAACTTGGAAATTGTCCCCTGTGCACCAAGATCTATCCATGAATACATATCAGAAAAAGCAAGGATCTTGAAACCAATCTCTGGGGAGCTGCACTACAAACCTTCCTCCAACCTGGAAAATCCTATGTGTCAGCCAAGTTTGCATCCTTGTTGCTACTACCCCATTTATTCCACAAGCATTAATTTTCTTTCACAAGCCCATTATGTGGCACTGTATTGAATGCTTTTTGGAAGTTCATTTATACCACATCAACAGCATTGCTCTCTCCTTGTTACATCTTGAAAAAAACTCCAGCAATTTGATGAATTCGAGGCTGACTCTTCTTAGTGAACCCAAATTTTTCATATGATTATTAATTCTATCTCTACTACATTTTTCAAGAAATCGCCCTACATCTTAAGTCTAAACTGGCTGATTTGTAATTGCTGGGCTTATCCTCAATACCCCATTTTGGATAGGGGTATTACATTTGCAATTCTCCAGTCTTTTAGCATCAGCCCTGAATCTAGAGAAGATTAGTCTATTTGCCCAGCTCTGCTCTTGCTCCATTGATATTAGCCCTCCCCTAGTTAATTAATCTTACCTATGGATTTTCCTGTTTTTTGCTGTTATGTTAAACCTAATGATATAATGATCACTGACCCCTAAATGCTACTCAATTGGCCCTTGTTCCCAACAACCAAGTCTAGCATTGATTCATTTCTGGTTGGAATTGGCATACTGTTGTAGAAAATTGTCCTGAACATAATCAAGGAATGCATGTTTCTCACTGTTTTTTATACCACCAGTATGCCAATCTATATTCAGATAATTATTGTCCCCATTTTAAATACTCTGATGTTTGAGCTTCTCTATAATTTCACAGCAGATTTGCTCCACTAAATCTTTCCCACTGTTGGTGCTCTGTAGATTACACTGGGCAGTGTAATTGCACCCTTTTTGTTCTTTAATTCAAATTCGAGCCAAATTGAGTCCGCCCTTGTATCTTCTAGGACCTCCTCTTTCTGCATCACAATAATGTTCTCCTGAACCAATACTGCCAAATAAGTCCACCTAACCCCACTGTCCCTTTTCCCTTTCATATCTTTTATAAACACCATGTAACCAGGAATACTTAACACCCTGTCCTCCTACCTTGACCCATGTCTCTGCTAAGGAAACATAATTCCACATGACAATCTGCATCTGTAACTCACCAGTCTTAATGACGACAATCCATGCATTCAAACAGCAGTGGAACCCTAATTTAGACTCCATTACTCTCTTCCACTCTATCTATTAGCTCACTATTCTCTATTCTAGAGTTCTCCCAGTATTTTGCGTACCCTGGTAGTACTTTCCAATATTCACTTCTGTTCCCACACCCCTGCCAAGTAAGTTTAAAGCCTCCTTAACAGCATTTGCAAATTACCCTGCAAGGAACTCAGTCTTAGCTCTACTTAAATGCAATCCATCAGATTTGTACCTGTACCATTTCCCCAGTGCCAGTCCCAGTGTCCCACAATCTAAAACCTTCCCCCCATATCACCTTTCCAGTACTCATATGTGGCAGTGGGAGTAATGCCAAGATTGCTAATACTGGTTCCTAATTTTCAACAAAGTTCCTAAAATTCCAATGTCAGGACCACATCCCAAGTCCTACTTATGTTGCTGGTTCTAATGTGCATCATGATCTCTGCCTGTTCACACCCACACAAACCTTGCCCCTCTCACCCGCAAAAAGACATCCTGTGCTCCCTCTATTACATCCTTGATCCCAAAACCAAAGGAGACAATGTTTTATATTCTAATAATCTCTGGATAATGATACCGTGCAGATTTCAAACAGAATCTGTATCCTATAGATTCCAGGCCAGGTATGAACTTGTTGGCTATGCACCATATTATATATATTTGTGGCTTCCTCTGTTTCCAACAGATTGTTGAGCAGAAACCAAAATGACTTCAGATGCTGTAAATCAGAAACAAAAATAGATTGCTGGAAAAGCTCAGCAGGTCTGGCAGCATCCGAGAGAGAAATCAGAATTAATGTTTCAGATCCAGTGACCCTTTCTCAGAACTACAGGAAGTAGTTTTCTCTCCACAGATTGTTGAATGGATTTGTTTCGCTTTTGTTGCACATTTCTGCGTCTATCAGTTTCTTTCACTTGGTCACTGGTAACAGAGTGGATTTTGCTTGCATTCCTCCTTTGTTATACTCTTGCTTTGAAAAACACATATGTGGTGTTAACTGTGAGAAGTTGTACCCTATTCCTTTTGACAAAAATTCATTATAATGAACCAGACTATTTGTATATTGGATTTTACTTTAGGTGCAAATGTGTTTGACTTGTACAACAGTGCCATGCAGTGTTGGTTTAGTTAATGCTCCTGGAGACAGTTATTTACAGTTTCAAAAAATCTTTGTCAGCGATTCATGCCTTAAAGGAGCATCATTGGGATAGTTTGCTTTCATTTAATAATTACCTCTGTCTATCCAAGGAATGTACCAGGGACATGAAACATTCACTCTGGTTCCTGGCAATGCGTCTGGCCAGCAGATATGCATGTCAAAGAAACGATGGCAGAAATCACCTTAGGATGTAGACACAATAATGGTAAAAATCAACAGAACCGGTAATAAGTCTGAACTGGATAATATCCAAGTCCAAACAGTTAACGATAAATCAGAGAGGATCATAATAGATACTGCATCTTTAAATATAACACAGGAGTGTTATACCTGGTAACTTAGTTACTATATAACATGCAGGTATGTCACATGCAGCAAAACAGAGGTAGATTTCTATCTTCATTGTGTTGGTCGTAAGTTGACAATATCTGAATGTGGAACCTTTGTCTACTAGGAAATAGCAGATCCTGTTTGATTGGATGCCCTGAATATAATTTTCATACAATTAATTTGCCATGTTTATATCTCTGTAAGTGATTTGCTGTGTGTCAATAACATTTTTTCTTTTTTTGGATCGATGAGAGAATAATGATGCTGAAAGAAGCCCATCATTCTGTCTCAAGCAGCTATTACTTTGGGATTTAAGAATGCTATCCTGTTGTCCTAATCACCCCAAGCACCACCTTAATCATTCATTTCCTCCCCCATCAGTGTGCAGTCGAAACAGTATTTGGCATATACCAAAATGGGTTGTAATAAATTGCTGAGAATCGTTCAAGAATACTTCACAAACCTGTAACCTCAACTGCCTAGATCAAGGACAGCAGGTACATGTAAGGAGTTGACCTTGACTGCTAGTTGTAGACTGGCATATTCCAAGGCCCTGTACTATGTGCTGAGGGATGCTCTAAAGCTTGGGGCAAAAGCTGCCAAGGCATTGTGGGGAAAGACCACTGCCTGAGGTCTTTCTGCTGAAGTATAACAAAGCCCCGTTCAGTTGTCAGACCCTCTTGGTGCTTCAAAATGAACATAGTTATCTGCATAAGTAGGAAATGTTTTTGTTTGTTGCAACTGTAGAGATGCTCTAAGAAATGTCAAAATTCCATTGTTTTGTTTGTTTTTCTTCGTTTTGCAAAGACTATACAGATATGATGTAGAACATCTCTATGCATTTATGCTTTATTCATAAAAATCATTTACGTTTGTGAAATAAAACATAAGCAGGTACATGGTAACAGCAAGACCTCAAATTCTTCTCTAAGTCACACACTATGTTGACTTGGAACTGTACTGCTGTTCCTTTACAGTTGCTACATCAAAATCACAACAGCACTGTGGATATATCTACACCACCTGAACGGTTCAGGACAGAGCTCACCATCACCTTCTCAAGAGCAAATAGCGATTTACAGCAAACGCTGGCCTTGCCAGTTAAATTCACATCCCACGAAAGACTAAACAAAATAGCAATATAGCTGTAACACTGAGCAACAGAGGTGGAATCTCAAAAGGATGAATTATAAATGAAAGTGGACATGGTCTCTGAACTTGGTACTGTCTTAGTCAGTATATTATATTGGTACCTGTGAGAGAATCCGGCTGAGACAGCACATTCTCGATGCACTCATTGCGGTACAGTCTCCATTTCTGAACAGTGTCTTCAAACAGAGAGAATGAGGCACTCTGGGAAAGGAAAAACAGCACTGTGAAAGGGACGTTATATCCAGGGAGTCATCAGCAATGAAATACCCCATTACACTGCAGCAGATGCAACAAAGTGCAGGACCAGAACCAAAATCAAAATCTTTCTGGCCTTACAGGTTTTGATTTTTTAAATCAACCTGTCCAGGGAGCAGGTGGGACTTGAAACCAGGCCTCCTGGTCCAGGGTGGGGACACTATCACTGCACTGGGGTTTCAAATTTTAAAGGTAAATGGAAATCACCTGGGAACTCTTCAATTCTTTTGGGAACATGCAGACTAATAAAATACATAATACAGAAGTGTTAAAACTCAGCATGTTAGAATGGCACACCAGGACGGTTTACATTGCAGTTGAGGAACTGAAAGTCAATTTGAATGAATGTGCCTAGATGTCATACTGGTTTGCTGCTGAATTTTGTCCCCATCAGAAATGTACAAACTTCCAAGGGCTGGAGGGCAAGAAGGGAAACTTCATGTTCAGGAAATCTGCAAGTTTACCTCTCGTTATTCTGCATTTGCTAAAACCCTTACTTTATTTCCTCTTCTCAGGGGATTTTGTTCCCACTTAACCTGTCTCTCTAGTAAAACCTAGTTCCCTTAATTAATAGTCATCCTTCAGGACTATTCTGTATTTATTTAATTTTGGATAGGTTACCAACTGCCTGAAGTCTATGTGTATTTCTGTAAACATTCATCACTTGACATGGGAAGAAAAATTCCTGGGCCCACCTCATTTAATTACTTTACCCAGTAACAGTTACACAAGGTAATAGTGTCATTGCTCACTTGAAATTTACTAAAGGAATGCAGCAGAATAAAAATGGTCAAGAATACCTCACCAAGTACAGTTTCCACACCAGACATTTCACTCTGAAGTGGCCTTGTCTCAGAAATGTTTCATTTATGTTCTAACTTCAGCCCTCTTAAACCGAAGTCATGCGGTGCAAAGGTCAGAGACCCCTGTTGCATGGATGCTTAGCAAACAGGCGGGATCAGCAGACACCAAATCAGCTCATGCTGCCAAAAATAAGATCAATAACTCAACTGCAGCTCACCTGTAAACAATTGCCCAAAACACTAGGGGCATAGACTCCAGTCTAAACCAGTAACACACAGGCTCCACCTGTGGCTGGAATCCCTTTTGGCCTTCACTCTACAGAACAGCTCTTTCACTTCCTCAGAATGCTGTAAATTGCAAGAAACTAACACATATGTACTTAAACAAACTCCAGGCAGGCCATTTGTGGAGCAAAGTGGGAAAGATAGGCAGAGAATGAGTTGACAGAGATGCAAAAGGAGGGGAGTGGTGTGTCAGATGTAGCATAGTGAAAAAGGTATTTGTAAAAGGTGCACTATACAAGTGATATGGCACTATGTTTTGTCCAGTGGAATGTTTCTTGAAAATTAATAACTCATATGTATACATTCAGTGGGAATGGAGCAAGTAAATATATAGACAAATGCTTCCTGAAACAGCAAAAATGTGGAAAAAGCAAGCATAGAGAAAATTAGTGGAACATGGTACAAAAGGATAGAGATGAAAGGCAGGATTTTAGTTTAGAAAGCTTCTTTGATTTTATAAAATACATATCCCAATCCCTTGATTAGATTCCAACTTGTAAATTATTGCTGGGTATCTGTCATTCCAAATATAAGCATTTCCTAGAACACCTTGAATTGATTGCAGTGTATAACTCACTTGCTAACTTTAATATTCTAGATTTTACCAAAATCCTTGATTAGATTATGTTGTATAACTCACTCCCAGATAGCAGCTATTTTATATATAAACCTCTCACCAAACACCTCAATTTGATTTTAACCTGAATTTCACATCCAAAAACTTTTATTCTGTACATAAACTACTCCAACATATCTCTTAGATTTCAACATAACTCACTCATTTTAAACTGTAATTAGACACAGCAATATTCTAATAGCTTAACAAACTTTATGACGAATTCCAATGACTTTCATGGGGGAAGGGTGAGTTCTGTGGAATTTGAGGAATTGTTTTAAATAGGATTAAAGGGAAACTTAAAATTGAAAGTCAGGTTTAACAATATTCAGAAAGGTTGTGAGTAATCTTGAATCAACAATCTTATCAAGAATCTTATTATTCATATCCTAATAAATTGGGCTAGGTTGTCACAGACATGTAATGTTATATCTAAAGATGACTAATTAAAAAACTTGATTGGACAGATGAATTGTCTATGCACCCAGACAACATCAGATGTCAGTTCTGAAATATGGAAATTAAATGTTATGAAGAAACACATTACAATTGGAGATTTTTCAAGGGCAAGTGAAATATTTAAAAATAAATACAGAAAACCATGTACTCAAGCTTTCAGTCTTGGGAGACCTAGAAGCCAGCATCAATGTCTCAAAAATCTTTTGTATGTGCTCAAGGTACTTAGTCAATGGCCTTCACCTGTACATGCTTATTCTTGATAATTCAATTAACACCCTATGGATAAAGCAACTGAAACTCTTTTGAGGGTGGTGTTAGAGAGTTTTTTTTTTGGACTAGTGCTTGAGACCAATGGTGTGCTGCAAGGATTCGCGCTGGATCCACAGTTATTTGTCATTTATATAAATGATTTGGATGTTAATGTAGGGGATATGGTTAGTACATTTGCAGATGACACTAAAATTGGTGGTGTAATGGGCAATGAAGAAGGTTATCTCAGGGTACAATGGGACTTTGATCTGATGGGGCAAAGGGCTGAGGAGTGACAGATGGAGTTTAATTTAGATAAATGTGAGATGTTGCATTTTGGTCAGGCAAACCAGGGCAGGACTTGTACACATAATGGTAGGGCCCTGGGGAGTGTTGCTGAACAAAGAGACTGAGGGTTGCAGATGCATTATTCCTTGAAAGTGGAGTTGCAATGTAGATAGGGTGGTGGAAAAAAAAGCATTTGGTGTGCTTGCCTTCATTGGTCAGTGCATTGAGTAGATGTCATATTATGGCTGTACAGGATATTTGTGAGGTCACTTTGAAGTACTGTGTTTAATTCTGGTCTCCCTGCTACAGGAAAGATGTTGTTAAACTTGGAAGGGTTCAGTATAGACTTAAAGATGTTGCTGGGACTGGAGGGTGTAAGCTGTAAGGAGAAGCCGAATAGGCTATTTTATTCCCTAGAGCCTCAGAAAATGAGGAGTGATCTAAAAGAGGTTTATAAAATCATGAGGGGCATAGACAGGGTGAGTAGCCAAGATTTTTTTCCCTGGGTAGGGGAGTCCAAAACTAGAAGGCATTGGTTTAAGGTGATAGGGGAAAGATTTCAAAGGGACCTAAGGGGCAACTTTCTCAGAGTGGCGTGTGTATGGAACAAGCTACCAGAGGAGGAGGAGAAGGTGGAAGTGGGTATGATTACAACATTTAAAAGACATTTGGGCAGGTACATGAATAGGACAGGTTTAAGAGGGATACGGGTCCAAATGCTGGCAAATGGGACTAGATCAGTTTAGGGTACCTGGTCAACATAGATGAGTTAGACCAAAGGGTCTGTTTCTGTCCTGTATGATTCTGACTCTAAGATTAAATTCCAGACTATAACTCACAATCAGCTAACTATTATTTTATGTAAACATCACAAACCTTTGATTAGATTAAAAATTTTAATTCGCTGCCCAGGTAATGAATCTATAACTAAATATATCCCACCTTCATAAAGTCAAAGGATCTCCACAGTGCAGAGAGGCCCATCAAGTCTGCACTGATCCTCCATAGAGCATCCTTCCCGCACCCTATCCTCGTAACTCTGCATTTACCATGGTTAGTCGACCTAACTTGCACATCCCTGGATGCTACAGAACAATTTAGTATGATCCAACCCACCTAACCTACACACCTTTGGACTGTGGGAGGTAGCCAGAGCACCCAGTGGAAACTCCTGCAGATATGGGGAGAAGGTGTAAACTCTAAACAGGCAGTTGCCTAGGCTGGAATCAAACCTGTGTCCCTAATGCTGTGAGGCACTTTTAGAGCAGTGAATTAGATACCAATCTATAACACACTCTGGGTGTCTGTGATTCTATTGTAAACATCTAGTTCATAAAGTTTTGGCAAAGATCTGTAGCTCCAGTTGTGGGTGAGGTTGACTTGCTCGCCAAGCTGGCTTGTTCTTGTTCAAATGTTTTGTTACCATGCTAGGTGACATCATCAGTGAAGCCTCCGATGAAGCTTCATCAGAGGCTCCACTGATGATGTCACCTAGCATGGTGACGAAACATCTGAACGAGAACAAGCCAGCTCAGCGAGCAAGTCAACAATCTCATCTAGTTCATAATTCAAATGTTTAAGTGTATAAAATTTAAGCTTAGCAATTTAAGCGTTTGAAGTATGGAAAAATTTGAGCAACTGGTGAAAATAACCTGATGTAAATGCAACTCAAACATATGCTTTTATAGTATTGAAAGACAGCCTCTGTTATCTTACAATATCAGAACTGATAGTGGAAAATTCTTCAATGAATTATCCATCCACCCATCTCTAAACTTATATTGAAGTCAGAAAGTCTATAGAGAAGGCTCAATAAGCATTGAACTGAAAGTAAAATAATTAATTTGTATTTCTGATTGAACCATCACAAAACATGCCACGCTACCATAGAGATAATGATTCAGAGTGGACCCTTGGTTCAAAGGTTATTTTATTTGATTTATCAAAGTTTTTCATGGATAGAAGCATGTAGTTCAGTTTAGAAATAGACTGAAGAAATTGCAGGTTTGATCTTGAGGCTACAATTCACTGAGTTGAGACAGTCAAAGAAAATAAATGTTAGTCAAGCCTGCAACTTAAGCGAGAAAGTAGTAACAAAAATGTGGTTAGAGCTCTTAATCAGTTTGGATTTTGTGAGGGAAAAGCAACTGAAAGATTTGCTCTAGCACACAGCTATTGGAAGATATCTACATGGTACTTATAGAGCCTTGCAATTGAAAACACTGAAGAATTAGCTTAGAAATCATTTAGGTATCTTACAACAATCAGAATCGGGAGCTGTGGTGTCCACAGTCATGAGAGCTATAAAGAAAAGGTGCAAGGTTGCAGAGCCAAGAAACTAATAGAAAGACTTGTATAGAATCTTAACTCAGAGCATAGCTGGAGCACTGAGTATTACTGTTGTGTTCCATAGAATCCCTACAATGAAGAAACAGGCCATTCAGCCAACAAGTCCACGTCTACTCTCCAAAGAGCACGTTACCCAGGCTCACTCCCCTACCCGATCCCTGTAACCCTGCATTTCCCATGGCTAATCTACCTAACCAACACATCCCTGGACACCATGGGCAATTTAGCATAGCCAATCTACCTAACCTGCACATCTTTGGATTGTGGGAAGAAACCAGGGCAGGAACATACAAATCCCATGCAGTCACCTGAAGCTGGAATTGAACCTAGGTCCCTGGTGCTGTGAGACAGCAGTGGTAACCATTGGGCCACCCTGCCATTGGTCTCAGATTGCAGGATTTGGTAAGGTAAAGGAACTCTTGGGGTGAGTAAAAAGTAAAACTGTGTGAGTATATTGCATAAGTCTTTATAAGCCATATGTTAAGCCTGTAGTGTTTTCTCTGCTTAATTTCTCTTTACGTACAATAAAGTTCGCTTTTATTTAAAAATATGAAATCTTATAGCATTGTTTCTGTTAGTTAATTGCTGGGTGTTCAGGTTTCTCTAAATGGTGCATAATGGGATCTTAGTACTATACAAAGATGCCTTGAAGACCTTGCTTAGATTTCAGCCAATAATATATATAAATCTTTCACATTCCTTGATTTGATTCCAGCCTGTAACTCACTCCTTGGATATCTGTTACTCCTGAACTTAAACCTGCCCACTTAACCCTTGAATAGATATCAGCCTGTAATTCTCACTATGGATATCTGTTGTTTTTCATTTAGATTGCCCAAACCCTCAATTACATTCTAACTTGTAATTCTCTCGGTAGGTTTATAGGTAACATTCCAGCATATTTCCTATTTTACAGGGAGTCAAAGATCAAATGAAAGTCACTGATGTAGTCCCCTGTTTCAAAAGTTCAAGGTCCTTGATCCAGAATAAAATTCTCCAGCTGTCTAAATTCCTGCCCTTGTTCTGTCTCTTCTGGTGCTATTGCCTCTACGAATTAAATATTTACCAATCACATAGTACAGTAATGGCAGATTAGTTTATTTATTTCACCCTCATCTGAAACAACTCATTTCTCCACCCCAGAGATTTGCCAGGAGCTGATCTTTTAGAATTTACATTTCAGATTTTGATCCTCAATTGAGTCTAACGACCAACCCAGAATTGCTCCAATTGAGTTAGTTGTCCACAAATGTTTAAGCAAGACATAGGCTGAATTTCCTTCCGTTATCAGTTCTGCTCCTTCTGCACACCCTAATTCTACATAGACCAAATGGAAGACTCAGGATCTGCTTCCTTTATGTTGTGATCATATTATTCTTTTGCTCCCTCTGACTGCCATATCTGACCTGACTTGAGTCCATCCCCTGGCATAGCACTATCAGTCCTAAACTTATCCAGGATCCAACATTCATCTGAATTTCATTCTCCTTGATTTTGTGAATGAAAATGAAGAGGATTCTATACTGAATCTCTACCCTGCATATTCAGTTTTACACCTGGGTGATAAGTTGAAAATGTAGCCTATTAGTTTTTAAAAAAACATGAGACGGATACATACATAGATACTCAGAAATTGCTGCTGCTATTATTAGCGAGCTCTCTTGTGACACATTGATATAGGGTTGCTCCTATTGCTGTTGGAATGGCAGTTGAAGTCAGTTTATTGGGATTTTATTTGCACTAAAGTTAGTGAAGGAATGTCAGAAAAATGTGTTAAGCAAGACTCTGCCAATATTGCCAGGATGTGAAATTATTACAGTATTTGAGTGAAACTAACTAAACAAATCATTTCAAACTACAAGCTTGGATTCTCATTGCTAATGATGAAGACTTAGTCACACTCGAAATATTAATGCAATTGTGTAATTCTTCACATATCAATAATGTGAGAGCCTTCATCTTTCTGACTGGAAAACCTGACTATAGAATTTAAACAAAATACTATGGGCTTTGACTCTCAGTGGAATTTTCTTCAAAACCAGAAAAATTAAACATTAATTAGTTTCTTCGCCAATTTCTCAGGTTTCCCCGTCACTTTGTCACCAATTGGATATTTAAACATTCTTACCTGTTCTGGAGCTGCAATCAAGGAGAAAAGAGTGATTGCTGGCAGGAAGTGAAGGCAGGGCCAATGTCCAGTCATCCATCCCATGCTTTTAAACCCTATTTGCTGCTGTATTTGCTCACTTTGACTCAGGAACAGCAGACAGGCACAATACTGCTGTCTGATTCATGCATTCAAGGAGGGGAAATGACCCCAGTAAGGAGCTGGGACATTCAGAATGCCACCTTTAAGGTATGGCCAGTCAGAGGAACTGAATGCCTGTTGTATTTAGGTTCCACCTTTATTGGCTCTCTGCCAGTGCCGAAAGCATATTGTTTCATTATGCACCAAACTAAAGACTCAGTTCACGATCACAAAACTCAATGTCCAGTCAATAAGGAGGTCAACCTGCCAAGTGCACAACAGTGATTTTCAACAAAGTGGCACATGTAAATTATCACCCAGTTTAATTAAAAGCTTCACTGAGTAGTTTCAGGCCAGGAAATAGAGTCCAGTAGTTTCACATTACTCCACATGACCCTTTTTAAAGGAGGAGGGAGTCATGTATTAAAACAAATTAATGATTCTCTGTGTGCTAGGTTTTTACCTTGTATTTGTTATTGCTGGAAACAGCAATAATTTACCTTCATGGCCGTAGAATCTGTAGTAGCTTCATAAACCACAGTTAAAGGTGAAAGATAAGAAGGTTAGTGCTGTGGCCATGCAGAACTGCATTATGTGACCCCAGTTCCTTGTTATAGATTCCAATTGTCTGCACATACTTGGCGTACCCTATATGGTCTGTTAACTGTGCTTTCTCTATCACCACTTGACTTGCATCTTCCCACTGAGCCCATAATTTGTGCACATCTCTTCTCACGTTTGGAGCTCATCCAGCACATGTCTGAAATCTCATTCAGCTGGGAGTAGTCTGTAACTCATCTACAACATGCCATAGACAGCCCTACTTCATTCCCTGTCAATCTTTCTTCTGTCAGCTCTGTACATACAAAAGATGAGGTTTTTTTTGTCAGATTTACACTGAGACAATTTATCCTTTTTAGTGGTTTCACATTTGCTCTCTTATGTGGCTTGATGCACAATCTCAACATTAGAACAATTTTTAAATTTTAGTATTGAAATTATATCCTATGATCCAAATTGGTGGGTATCCCACATGGATATTCCTGGAGTCTGCAGTGTTTTCCTTTTCCCTCTAACCACGCTAGAGTTGTCGCATTTCCATTCCCACAGATTTCCTTCCACTCATTTCACACTCCTCCTTTGGCAGTCAATCCAAATCATCTCCTTTAGTTTCATTTACATTTTTGAATTAGTGAAAACTGTTCAGATTTCAAGTTCTGGCCTGTGTTCGTAGAAATAAGTGTACAAATTTAAAGGACTCGGAATGTTGCTCAAAACAAGACATTGTTCAGGTCCCATCTCAGGAGAATTTGCAATGTAAGTTCCCTAATCATCAGAAGAATCAAATTACTCACTTAAAGATCAATAAATGTTCAGTAGGAGGTTTTGAGGAAACTAGACCTGTTGCCTTGGAAAACTGGTGCTTTTACGGTACTCACTGATTTGACATTTAAGATTATACAGGGAGCTAAGTTGATTCAGACAAATTGTGCACTTTACTAAATGGTTCACATTCCAAGAATATAACAACAGAATCAGGAGTTTATAAAGGGAGAAAGGAGGAGGAATTATTTTCACCCACAGGGTAACTAAATCATAGAATAGGTGAACCTGGGATGAACATTGAAGCTGACAGTATAAAGAAAGTTAGTTTTAGAGAGATGGTGGTGTTCTGGATTCAGGGAGATTTTTTTCCCTTTTTTGGAATGTAATCATTCCAAAGGCAAAGCCAACATTTATCAGCAGCCTTCCTTCTAATTTTGAAAGTGGTGGTGAGTTACCTCCTTGGACCACTGCAATCCATGTGATGTTGGTACACTCACTGTACTGTTGGAGATGAAGTTTGATCCAATGACAGAAGTCATAATATATTTCCAAGTCAGGATAGTGTGCTTTTTAAAAAAGAAATTAGTTTATGTGTATGTTGTGGCTAGGCCAGCATTTATTACCCTTCCCTAATTGATCAGAAGTTAGTTAAGAGTCAACCACATTGCTGTGGTTCTGATCACCTGTAGATCAGATCAGGTAAAGACAGCAAATTTCCTTTCCCAAGCTCATTAAAGAAACAGATAGGATTTTGCGGCAATCAACAATGGTTACATGGGCACAATGGGCAAATTAAAAAATTTATTGAGTTCAAATTTTACTGTCTGCCATGATGGGATTTGAATCCATATCCCCAAAATATTAGCCTGGGATTCTGGATTACTTCTACATCACCATCTCTCCCCGCCACATGACTTGAAGTTTCAGGTGACAGTGTTCCCATGCACCTATTCCTCTTGGCCATCTAGGTGATAGAGGTTGTGGTCATGGAAGGTGCTGTCAAAGGAAGTCAGTAAATTGTTCTAGTGTGTCCTGTATATATTACACACTACTGCAAACACTTTGTGGAGGGAATGAATATGTCAACCAAAGAAGCTACATTTTCCCAGATAGTGGTGACCATTTCAAATGTTGTTGGGGCAGGAATTATTCAAGTAAGTGGACAGCATCCCATCGCACTCCTGACTTGTGCTTTGAATACAGTGCACAGGCTTTGGAGATTGGACATGTGAGTTACTTGCAGCAGAAATCCCAGCCTCTCTGAGCCACAGTATTTATCTGGCTAAAGCAGTTTACTTTTTGGTCAATGGTAGTCCTCCAGGATGTTGATAGTGAAGGGTTCAGTGACAGTAATGATATTGAATGTTATAGATTTGCTTTCGGTAGAGATGGTCATATCCAGGCACATTGCTTGGCATTAATGTCATATGACACTTATAGAGTCATAGAGATGTGCAGGACGGAAACAGACCCATCGGTCCAACTCATCCATGCTTACCAGATATCCTAGGTAAATCTAGTCGCATTGCCCATATACCTCTAAACCCTTCCTATTCATTTCCCCATCCAGATGCCTTTTGAATGTTGTTATTGTACCAGTCCCCATCATCTTCATTTCTGACCTTGTGTTGGAGGTAAGATCATTGATGAAGCAGCTGAAACCATTTGGCCTAGGAAACTACCCTGCAGAACACTTACAACAATATTTAGTACTGAGATGATCGATCTCCCATAAACAACCATTTTTCTTTTTCATGGGGTATGAGTCCAACCACTGAAGAATTCTTCCTGAGATTTTCATTAACCTAAATTTCACTAAATTCTTTGCTGACACGCTCAGTTAAACACTCCCATAACACCAAGCATTCACTTTGACCCCACCTCTGGAATTCTGCTTTTTTCTTTCCCCAAGTTTAAACCAAGGCTGTAATGAGATCTGGAGCAGAAGGGGGCAGTTGGTGCCCCCAATTAAGCAATTACGAGCAGGTTATTGCTAAATTAATTGTGAGCAGTATTTATCTGTATAATTTCTGCATTGCAAGCTTTATAGTATAGTTGTACTGAAACAGCTTTTGTTTTGCATATAACTAATTCTGGAGTATAAATGTTCAATATTCAGTTTTGACCCCCTTACATTTGAGACAGTTCAGAAGAAATCCACTAGATTAATTCCAGAGATGAGGAGCTGGTGTTATGAAAAGAGATTAAGCAGTCTAAGCTAATACTTTCTACAATTTAAAAGAATGAAAGGAGATCTAATTGAAGTATATAAGATACGAAAGGGAATTGACAAAGTAGACGTAGACCAGACGTTTTTCCTTGTGGGGCAATCTAGAACAAATAAGTTATGGTTTCAGGATAAGGGGTAGCTGTGTTCATCCAGCTCTACACCTTGTTATCTCTTCATTAGACTGTTGTTACTTTGTATGTTCCAGCAATTCTGATCACGCTTGCCACCTCGATCCAGAACTCTTGTCACCAAATCACATCAGAACAATGCACTTCAATCTTTCAGACCTTTATCTTTCTAGATGACACCTCAGGCAGTACAGACTTGAAGCTTGGATTCATGCAGAATCATCAGTTGGGCTACTTCAATTTCATTACAACTGGTTGCCAGCTCATTAACAAAACAGTACTGCAACAGGAACAAAAACAGAAACAGAAGTTGCTGGAAAAGCTCAGCAGGTCTGGCAGCATCTGTGAAGGAAAGAAAAGAGTTAACATTTCAGGTCTGGTGACCCTTCCTCAGAACTGATGATAGCTAGGAAAATGTCTGCTTTTATGCAGAAGATAGGAAGGGGGAGGGGGTAGGGAGTAAGTTATAGGTGGGGATAGAGGCCAAAAAGAGATGAGAGTAGTTGGATAGACAAAGGTGTTGATAACGATCTGGCTAAGAGGATGAACAGCTGCTAATGGAGACAGTTAGTGACTAACAATAGGTGTGTGTAATGGCAGGTTCAGTGATAACAAGGCCTGGTGTTTGGGGTAGGGGGCAAGGACATGGGAGAGTTTAAGCCCTAAAATTATTGAACTTGATATTGAGTCTGGAGGGCTGCAGGGTCCCCAGGCGGCAAATGAAGTATTGTTCTTCTGGCTTGCGCTGAGCTTCACTGCAACACTGCAGCAAGCCTGAGACAGATATGTTGGCCAGGAAAAAGGGTGGTGTGTTAAAGTGGCAGGCAACTGGAAGATCCACTCTGAGGAAGGGTCACCAGACCCAAAATGTTAACTCTTTTTTTCCCTTCACAAATGCTGCCAGACCTGCTGAGCTTTTCCAGCGATAGTAGGAACTGCAGATGCTGGAGAATCTGAGATAGCAAGGTGTAGAGCTGGATGAACACAGCAGGCCAAGCAGCATCACAGG